AATTTCAGGTGGTAAATAAGAGCTTCACCTATTAACCTCATTGGTACCCGAAATATCGATACAACACCAAGGCTGGGGTTTCATACAGAAAAAATTGAATAAATATAAATATAAATAGTAGCTCTTATATTCGCTATGCAATAAAACAGCTGTTTCAGCCGCTGCACACGCAGCGAGGTCGTTCCACTCTGAGGAGCGCGATGAACCGGTAAGAGTTACGAAATTCTAGAAGAAAAAAACGTCTCTACGGCCTGAAATCCCAAAAATGGCCGAGAGGATTCATTCTGGCTCTTTTCTGTGGCCACGATCAAGATAATACAAAGACTCCATCCGGCTAACGTTTCGGCTGATCGCCTTCGTCAGAGTCTGGAAAGTCAAAGATCAATGCAACCTACCCCAAGCAAGGAGCAAGCTACAAGTGCTTTGGCCATTTCAGGCTTTGGCGAAGGCCGAAAGAAGCCGAAACGTAAGCCTAATAAGTTGCTCGATCGCGGAGGACTCGAAAAAACCCGCTTAATTCATTGTGATAAGTTACTCCAACAATTCTAATGAGCAGAGAAGTAGAGTGCACGGCGCAGGCCAAAATGCAATGGCATTTCACGTACGAGGGTCACATTAAAACCTCCTCGAAAAATCTAGGCAACGGCCCAACTTTAACGTAAGTACATCCTAATAGCAGGTTATTTTAGAGGTCAAGGAATGAGAAGTCCGAAGGCTTCCTCCCAGAAGATCCCTTTGCAGAGATTGTCACGAGGTAACGTCTCATTTTTTGAAACCAAGCCAATAATCTCAAGAACGGCTACTCAGGGCTCCTCCGTCGTCCGAGCCAGATCTCGTACAGAGAAAGCATTTCCGAAGTCTCAAAGAATACAACGAGTATCGTGAGCAGGAGTACAATCAGTATCGAAAGCATGCACAAAACGGAGCGCTCTACAGGTCAGCCCTTACTTCACTACTTCCCGGGGAATTGTTAAAGGCAGGTGATACGATAAATTGGCTCCAAAGAAGGGGATTTATGCGTGCTGTAATGGGAGCCTAAGCCTTTAGGTCGGAGAAGGATGCGTGCCTAACGACTTGGCAAGGCTTCACATGCCCCTCTGAACGCCCTCGTGCTCCTGCCCGCTCTCCGATTGGCTGCCCCAGTAGCTTGTCTCTTGTCGTCGGACTCTAGCCTCTCCGACAGAGAGGCAGAGCAATGTGTTCACTTGCAGCTATCCTAGAATCTCGACCAGCGCAGAAATCGAAGAACGACAGAGGGATTTTGTCATTTATACAGAGTTAATGCGAGAGTTCCATATACAAACTTCAGACTAGTAGGGATCAGGGTGGGGGAACGTCATAGATTTCTCAATAGGGTTAGGAATTGGATCTTCGGCCAGGGTTATGCTGAAAGAAGCGGATTTGAAGTGGATAAATCAGGCCAGGAAAACCCAAAGCGCAGTTGTAGGTTCATAAATGAGGACAGGATTGCCCTGGGAAAGCGTTTTTAGCTCGATTTTCGTTCGAACACGTTAATTACCACGGTATGGAAATGCCAGGGCTGTCCGCACAAATCGAGATGGTTCCGAAAAATCAGTTTCGTAGAGGAAAAGCCTGATAGTAATGATACATGACGTTGCCATGAGGTCGCTCTCGGAAAGAGCAGTGGTTGAGGATGAAATGGGTGGACACACTCGGAGAAGGGCTAGCAGGGAGTGATTGAGTGGTGCTTACCTCGACATAACGTCGTGAATTATATCCACTTATTGAATGGCCAAACTCGCGGGCAAAAAACTTCTGAGGAGCCGAAGAGCGATGTAGTAGTGTGGGAGGTTGTAGGGGAAAGGGGATCGAATTTTCGGAAACTGACGGGGCCGCCGATGCGGGAGAGGGCGGGGTGATTTATGATGTTTTTTAGAAAATGTTTTGTCGGGGAAATTTCAAAAAGTGACGATGAAGTGATTGAAACTAATGAACTTGTTGTTTTACGAGACATATCTAGCACCCCTCCCCCTTATACCTCCCCTTATACCTACCATTTTGGGAGAATGTGGGCGATGTCGGGTGAGGGGGTTGTCGAATTTCTGGGATTGTAACAACGGATGGTTGACTCTAACTTGCACCCCTTCACCATGGTTGGGTATCCCCCTAGAGTTAAGCTTGTGTCGCGGAGTCCGAATGGGGTTGTGGTACTTGTGGTTTTATTTAGGGGTTCACTTGATCGAAGACATCGTATTTTTGAAAGGTGGCGATCGTAGGATTATATTCGGGGACAGTAAAAGTGTTGGAAAACTGCGAAAACCTGTTGGCCCTGTCATAATTATCCCAAAGACTTCTCCAAATTTAGGATTTAAGGCTGGAGGGGAGGGGGTCAGGTAGGGAAGAGGTCGTTTTTGTGGTTTCGGGAGGGGCTTCGTTTGATCAGAGACTTCGTATCTTTTAAAAATGGCGATCGTAGGATTAGGTGTGGTAGGGGCGGGGAAAGTGTGTGAATTGTGGGATCCTCTTTTCACGAGATTCATGTAATGGAGGAGGAATGGGATGAGGATGTAATGGAGAGGCTTGGGGGGGGGCACTAGTATGGCCAGCTGTATGATCACTTGTATGACTAGACCGATGAATAGCCCAGCGAGTAACCGAACACCGTTATAAAGGAAGTAACCTTTTTAAAACTTTGAAATTCCAGAATCTACCCGAATATGCACGAAAAAGACTCGTCCTATTGCTCCGACCTACGAGGGATGTTCATGTTCACTTGCCAGCCAAGTAAACCCCTACGTATAGACCTGGTGGAGTTCTGTAAAGTAAGTTTTTAAACTCAGGTACCTTCCTTTAGTAAAGAATGTACAACTTTCCATACTGTTGGAATATTTTTTCCATTCTCTAAGGCTTTTACTCGTTTTTTCGGTGACCTTTTTGAAGAGATAGCGCCATGGCAATTGGCGGATCTTACCAAGCGCGCGGTCGGGGAGGGGGTCAATCCTGGATCGCATCTTGCTGGGACCAATCAAATCCCATTTTTTCGGGATGCGGTTATTGTTACCGGATACACAAGAAAACGTTGACTTTCACATCGGCTGTCCCCCCCCCAATTCTTGTTTTGAGCCATGTCGCATTAGAGTTCTACTGCGACTCTGAGTGAAGGTATAGTGCGTGGCGCATCCAAATCAGTTGATATTCACTTCCTTTTTTATCGATTCCCATTGCTTTTCTTTTATA